TTTTTATTTTAATAAATATAAAATAATATAATATAATATTTCTTTAAATCTAATCTAAATGGTTCAGGTCTCATCTGGGTGATGAGCACTATAGACGAACCCCATAACATACTCATTACAATAGAGATCAATAAAGAAAATTACATGGCTTCTATTAAACAAGTTTTCCTTTTGTTACTAGCTCCTTCTCATTTCTTCCTTATTGGAGATCTCCAATGCCACTGGCAGCAACATTAGGGCCAAAACAAGAACCAAGGCTCCCTCGCTAATGCCTATAACACCAAAAACTACAAATACGTCAACCTAGCTTGCTTGTCTGCCTTTGGCAACAGCCAAAACTCTTAAACTTAACTTTACGGGCCACTGCAACACAACAGCCAATACATGTACCAGATTTAGCACAGACATCAAAACTTGCCAAAATAAGAGCATTAAAGTGCTTCTCTCACTACAACAAAACAGAAAATTAGCGGCAAAATTTAGCGACAGGAATTTATTCCGTCACTAATTTATTGACGGAATTTAGTGACGGAACATTCCATCGCTAAAACATTAGTTGCTATTCCATCACTAAATAGTTAGAAACAATTTTACTGATGGAATTTAGCAACGGAACGTTTTATTGCTAAAAATTCTGTCACTATTCTATTGCTAAACCATCAGAAATAATTTAGTGACAAAATTTTTTGATAGAAATGTCTGTTGCTAATTTTCAAGATAGGTTATTATCATTTTGTGACAGCATTTGTGATGGAAAAATCCATCACAAACCTTTATATCATAATGCCATCGCTAATTGTTTTAAACTTTATTATATGATTATAATATATATTTATATATAGTTTATTATTTTAAATTATTTAGATATTAATAATAATCATAATAATTTAAATTATATATTTAATTATTTTTTGATAACCTAGTAACATACATAATTATTGTTATTTAAAAATAAAAATAATTTATTGATATAATATAAAATTATAATATAATATAAAATAAGTATTATATAAAAATTTAATTTAATTTATTGAAAATAAAAATAATGTTAAATAAAATAATTAAATTTAAATTATATATTTATTTATATGTGTGTGTGGGGGGCAGTTAAATATTATATATTTAATTTATCAATTAAAACTAAAGATCTCCTTTAGTTTAATTGGCAATAAGATTGGACACAAAGGCTCGTGAAGGTGTGAGGTTGTGGGTTCGAACTTAGCCAAGGCACATTTGAAGTTAATATATGACATGGAGGTGACGTGGTTGGTACATGGTGATGTGGAGGCGATGTGGCAGGGAGGGGTGATGAGGTAGCAGTCACATGGCGATGAGGTGGTAGTAGCCCACTAATTGATGTGGCAATGGTAATTTTTTTATAAAATTCTCATTTGTAATGGATTTAGCGATGGAATGCATTTCGTCACAGAATTGTAATTTGTTTAGTGACGAAAATTTTCCATCACCAATTCCGTCACTAATTAGCAATGGAATTACAATTCCGTCACTAAAATTTTGTCGCAAATTAGCGATAGAATTTTAAATTCTATCACTAATGAAATAGTAATGGTGTTTTTGCCAACGGAAATATTCCGTCATTAACCCATTTAGCAACTGAATTTTTATTAATTAGCGCGACAGAATTTCTAATCCACTATTTTTTTTGTAGTATCTCTCTCCCCCCGGGTAGACAAGTAAAATCATATTTCATTAAAACTTTATAAATTTAACTATATTTTAGTTGATCTTTTGGGATTTTAGGATCTAAGTGTCATTTCCTTATAAATTTTTTTATAAAAAATATAAAAATTTAATAATTTTTTAAAAAAATTTATTACTTGATATGTCTCTCAAACAATAATCTACCGCAAATGAATAGTGACAAAGAAAATTTTGAAATAGAGACTACCTCAAAAAAAAAAGAAATTTTAAAGAACATTATCATTGCAGACCCCACCACCATTCCTTTTCTAATGTGAAATTTCATTGATGAATGCAACTCACAACTGCCTTTCTATTTTTCCACAAGTTATCTTCTTATTAATTTCTCAGTTGTCTAAGTCCAGCTTTTTTTTATGTGGGTAAAATTACTAAGTCAAGCTTTTGATATGCTTTTTTTTTATAATTTATTTAAAATTTTGGATTCAATACTAATTAGGCGCCAACTTATTATCATCTCCAGTGTAATTAACTAAAAAAAATAGAGAGAATCACATTTAAAGACTTGTGAACAATGTTATTCTTAGATAAGGATCATTAATAAGCCACCATTAAGGAAAAAAACAATTTTAAATTCCTATTTTAAAATTAATTTATTTTATATTGATCTTTATTTATGAATAACATTTTTCATAGTCATGCGATTGAAGTTTGTAACATATATTAGCATTAAATCAACGGCGCTAAATTTTATAATTGGAAAATTGGAATGGGCTCTACTTTTTAAGGTTTTGGGTCAAGTAAATCCACCAATATTCTAGCATTCCTTACTATTTTTCTCCATTGCAAAAGAGCTTTTGCATATTATTTTGTTCATTATAATTAGCTATTTTAGACTAATATTGGTCAAATAAATTCACCAATATCATTACTCTCATTTCAGTGCTGATCAAAGCTTTCTTCTCCTTGTGAAGCCACAAAGAAAAGATAGAGACTTTCAATGGTGATTATAAAAAGTCACCGCTAAAAGTCTAACCACCTATGGTAGTTAAAATTTCTTATTTACAAATAGGTCCCATATAATTTAGAAACTATAGCCAGGTTCCTTAGGATCTAATTGAAATTTGAAATTATGGAGCACAGATAATACTACACTTATACTTGTAATGTATGAGTAGTTTAATTATTAAATATGTGAAGTTGTAGTTGCAAAAAGTTGAAGTAATAGTTGTAAATTATTGATGAAATGTTGTAAACAATTAATGTTAAATTTTGTTAGTAACATATAGATATGTGAAGTTATAGTTGTATAATGTTGATATGATAGTTGTAAATTACTAATGAGGTATTTGTATAAAATTAGTATTAAACTTGCAATGCATGATTAGTTCAACTATTGGATATGTAAAATTACAATTGTAAAAAGTTAAAGTGATAGTTATAAATTATTGATGATATAATTGTAATTACTTGATTGATGTAAGGTATTTTTAATAGGAACATTATTATCTTTGCACCTTAGTTTGAAATTATACTCAAGTCCCAAGGAACCTAGCTATGATTTTCAAATTTTGCGGACTTATTTGTAAATAAGTTTGCTCTATGAGCAAGACCAATACATAATTGTTCCTTTATTTTCTAACGATAATGATTAGAAACAATTTTTTTAAGTGACCATAATTTTTGGAGAAGCATCCCTTCAAATATATGTCAAGTTGACGATTTCAATGGTTATATTTGGGAAACAACATATTTTCATAATTCTATACTACAAAATAAATCAAGGTACCATTTGTTTATGATTAAAAAATAAGTGAGTATTATATCATTTAGATTTTTTTTCAAAAGAAGGGATATTTGTTGTAGAGATTTTATAAAAAGCATATATTATTTTATGTTTGATTGTAGTAATGAAAAGTGATTATTATATAGTTATTAAGTTGGAATGTTAAGATATCCACAACTAATGGAGCCCACCTGGTTGGAGCCATCACCTAGGTGAGTTTCATTGTGTATTTCTCGCAGGAAATGTTGCCCCTAGTTGAGGTTTGGTCAAAGTCTCTCCTATAATTCAATGGACTTAACATTCCTACTTATGACACTGGTGATTGGTGCAAGCTTAAGGTTAAAGGAAATAGAGTTTCACCTTGATTAACAACTATAACTTCTAAAGTTTCATTTGCAAATTCTTGATGTTTCAGTTGTAAAAGGTTCTTGATATTTTTCAAGGGTCCTTAATTACCATTCTCCCTATTTTTTTCTTTATTTTTGAATTTTTTTAGGCTAACAATTAGCTCCTTTCAACTTTCATATTTTTTTCTTGACCTTGAAAATTATGATAACAACGTACAGATGAGAATGAGACGTATAGATATACAACTTCACCAAAATCATATTTCATTAAAATTTTGTAAATTTAACTATAATTTAGTTGATCTTCTACGATTTTAGGATCTAAATGTCATTTCCCTATAAACTTTGTTTATAAAATAAAAAAATTTAATAACTTTATTAAAAAATTCTATTACTTGATGTGATCTCTCAAACAATAATCTACCACATTGAATACTGACAAAGATAAATTTTGAAATAGAGACAGAGTTAATTCAAAAAAGAAAAATTATAAACAACATTATTATTGAGGACCCCACGACCATTCCTTTTTCCAATGCAAAATTTCATTGATGAATGCGACTCACAACTGCCTTTTTTGTTTTTTTCCACAAACTTATCTTTTTTTTGGATAACTTATTTAAGTCAAGCTTTTGATCGGCTTTCGTTTTATAATTTATTTAAAATTTTGGATTCAACGCTAATTAGTCGCCAACTTGTTATCATCTGAAGTGTAATTAATAAAAAAAATAGAGAGAATTGCATTTAAGGACCTGTGAACAATGTTATTCTCAAATAACGATCATTAACAAGTCACTATTTGAGGAAAAAAATAAGGGTAAGTTTCCATTTTAACAATAATCTATTTCATATTGATTTTTGTTTGTGAATACATAGGCATACAATTTTCCAGGAAAGAAAAAAAGAGCGCAAGTTTGCTACATATATTAGCATTAAATCAACGGTGCCAATTTGATTACAGGGAAATTTGAATGGGATCCACTTTTTAATTTTTTAGGTCAAGTAAATTCACCAATATTCTAACATTTCCTTCTATTTTTCTCCATTACAAAACAGCTTTTGCATATTATTTTGTTCATTATTATTAGCTATTATAGGTTACAACAATTAATTATATTGTTATCATTACTCTTATCACTCTCAAGAGCTTATATATAGTGAAGCTTTCTTCTTTTTCTTTAACCTAAGAAGCTCTGAGCCTATTCAACATGGGAAATCTTTGCTTTCATTTCTCCCTCTCCATTTTCTCCATGCTTTGTCTCATGGTTTGCCAATCTTTATGTTATTCCAATTTTACCCTTGATGGATTGGCACTTGTTTCTTTCAGATCTTCTATTAGAGACCCTTACAATCACTTGAAGAATTGGTCCAACTCATCATCTTCCTACTGCATGTGGCTCGAAGTCACATGTGATTCTAACAATGAGAGAGTGAGAATCCTAAGTCTTCCTGAGATGGGTCTTGTGGGCACCTTACCCTCACAAATTGGAAATCTATCCTTCATAGAAAAACTTGAACTACAAAGCAACAACTTTCATGGTGGGCTGCCAAAAGAGTTGCTTCAATTGTACAAATTGGAAATTCTAAACTTGAGTTATAATACTTTTAGTGGAGAAATTCTGACCTGGATTGGAAGCTTGTTTATGCTTCAACACTTGAGTCTTGGCAATAATAGTTTTGAAGGTCTCATTCCTCCAAGCATATGGAATTTGTCTAAGTTGGAGACCTTGGATTTGAAGTCTAATTCTATCAATGGATCTATTTCGGTGGATATTGAAAGTCTTCAACACCTGAAATTTTTAAGCATTTATCAAAACATGCATTCAGAAAGTATACCTCCAATTATCTCTAACTTATCATCACTTGAGCACATCTCTTTGTCTGTCAACTTCTTAGAAGGTATGTCTTGTATAATATATATGTGATTATGTAAACATTTATTCTATTTCAAAATTGAAGAATTTATCTTTTTTTTTTGGCAATTGTTTATATCAGTCTTATATTTGATGTCAATCTAACTTGGGGTATGCTATTTACTATGTCTTTTCAAAGTTAGATCTTGAACCGAAAATTCTCAAATACTTTACAATTGCATTAAACGCATTAACTACACCTCTATAATTAAGCTATCATCCCCAGAACAAATTTCACAATTCTTTAAAATTGTTCCTTGAATGAGTTATCTCTGACAACAAATATTTTTGTTTAAGTAGACAATTTAATTAAATGTTGGTGGGAATTCTCTTTCAGCGAGGCACTTTTTTTTACGCTATAATTTTTGGAATTCCTTTTCTACTTTTCAGTTGTCGTAAGTTGATGCATGTATTATTCTATATCTGTATATTATTATCTGGTTGGTAATATTGACTAGAGATCAAATTATTGAATACATGTATGACATGCAACAAAATGCATTCCCAAAATTATGTCTACTCTTTCGTTTAATATTATTTTTTATATAAGTACTTACGAAAAAAGTACAAGGTTATTTTGTGGCCATATTGCAGGACATATTCCCAAAGAAATGAATAAGCTTACAAATCTGAAAAATATGTACATGGGTATGAATAAGTTGTCAGGCCAAGTACCAAGCATCAGAAATTTGATCATGCTTGAAATTTTATATCTTGGAGGCAATAACCTCCAAGGTACATTTTTAATGAATCATAACTTCTTTTAACTATTGTTTGCTTTTATTTTTGGGACAATTACATCCTGTGGAGTGGACTTATTTACAAATAAATCCCACGTAATTTAGAAACTATAACCATATCCCTTGAGATCTGAGTATAATTTGAAATTAAGGTGTACAGATACTATTACCCTTACTTGCAATACATGATCAATTTAATTATTGAATATGTGAAGTTACAGTTATAAAAAGTTGAAATAATAGTTGTAAATTATTGATGAAATAGTTGTAAACAATTAATATAAAACTTTGTTGGTAACATATGATCAGTTTAACTATTAGATGTGTGAAGTTATAGTTGTAAAATGTTGATATGATAATTGCAAATTACTAATAAGGTATTGTATATAATTAGTATTAAACTTATCATGCATGATCATTTTAATTATTAAATATGTGAAATTACAGTTGTAAAAAGTTGAAGTGATAGTTGTAAATTATTGATGACGTAATTGTAAATTACTTGATCGATGTAATGTATTTTTAATAGGGATATTACTGTCTTTGCACCCTAGTTTCAAATTATACTCAAGTTCCAAGGGACCTAGCTGTAAATAAATCTGCTCTATAAGACCTATATATAATTGTTCCTTTATTTTTTAATGGGAATCATTATAAACAACTTTTTTGAGTGACCATAATTTTTGGAGAAGCATCCCTTCAAATATATGTCAAATTGACGATTTCAATGGTTATATTTAGGAGACAATATATTTTCATAAGTCTATACTACAAAATAAATCAAGGACCCATTTGTTTATGATTAAAAACTAATTGAGTTTTATGTCATTTAGATATTTTTTTTAAAAAAGTGATATATGCTGTAGATATTTTATAAAAAGCATATGTTATTTTATGCTTGATTATAGTAATGAAAGGTGATTATTATATAGTTATTTTTAAATTTTATGATATCTTCATGGATCTCTATTCATAAAAAATTATTATTTAGTTATTTTAAACGAGCAAGACTTAGGTACTTGACCTTATATATTTAATGTATTGTACTTAAATCCAATCAAATCAAAACAAGTGAAATTTAATGAGTTAGTAATATTAATAAAAAATTATTTTAGAATAAATAATCTATAAATGATACGCATCTCTTTATTCAATTGGAAACAACCACCATAACATATAACGCTAAGTATATAAAATTTTTCTTTTTTGGAAACTATTCAAAGTAGCATTTCAAAATAGTCAGAACTTAGAAATATGTTTTTTAAAAAAATTTGATTATTTTCAAAATTTAAACAAATATCATAAAATTTCACAAAATAAATTTTCATAAAAAATAAGTGATCATCTTGTAAAAGGAAGATCAAACAAATGGACCCCAAATTAAATCTCTAACTTTAATTTTATAACTTCTTTTTCACAAGGATTCTTAAAAATCATAAAACAAATTCATACGAGTTTATTCTATTTTATGTTTTAAAATTAAAATTATTCTTTGTAAATTATTAAACCAAGTATATATATATATATACTCAACAGACTATATCAAATTTGTTTCCAAAACATAAAAGTAAAATTGTGGGAGGTGAGAGGTGTGGAATTAGAATGTTTAATTTTGTGCAACAAAATTCACAGCATTATGATTTTATTGTGTTGTAATATTGTGGGAAATATTCCGAATGAAATAAGCAATCTTACAAATTTGGGCAGCATATACTTAAGTGCTAATCAATTGTCTGATCACATACCAAGAGGCATTGGCAAGTTCACTAGGCTTCAAGAGTTATTTCTAGACAACAATCACTTAGAAGGTATATAAATACTTTTATCAAATTAAAGGGTCGTTCTACTTAATTTTCTGTTCATATGATATTTTATGCACGAGCAATAAAAATAGTTACTTTTTTTTACCACATTGTAAAAGGAAGTATTTCTTTACAATAAACATAGAGATTCTCTCAAATCCAAATTGTATAAACATAGATGATGATAATAATATACATTGTTCCTTGAATGGGTTGTCTCTGTCAAAAAAATATTTTTGTTAAGATAGAGAAGCTAATTAAATGTATTTATTTGGAATTCTCCTTCAGCTAGGCACTTTTTTTTCGCACTATATAATTTTTGGAATTCCTTTTGTACTTTTCAATTGTCATAGGTCGGTGCGCATATGTATATATTATCTGGTTGGTAATATTGACCAGAGATCAAATTACTGAATACATATATGCGATACAACAATAATGCATTCCCAGAACTTATCGCTTTTTGTAATCGTTTATAACAATCTTATATTTGATGTCAATCTAATTTGGGGAATGCAATTTACTATGTCTTTTCAAAGTTAGACTTTGAACCAAAAATTCTCAAACATTTTACAATTATGAAACAAATTAACTATACCTCTATAATTAAGCTATCATCACTAGAACAAATTAAATATACAATAAAAACAGCCTCAATCTGTGCAGGAGATTCTACACCAACACCGCGCAGAGAGTACAAACAGCCGCCACTCGAACCACCACCATTAGACAAATCTCGATCAATAGGCAAACTGCTGAGCACACCAGAGAATGAGCCAAAAACTGAAGAACATAAGGTTCCACCAAATTAGCCGATGATCATGTTTATCATTGCAAACCTAAATAACGCTTATGTCATATGTGTGTGGGTGTTGGAATAAGAATGTTTTGTATTAATGTGTAATGATCCTTTTAGGGATATCATGAATTAGTGTTATGCACTTGTGTGTGTGTGTACTCCCTATGTGATGAAATTACCGTTGTTTTAGAAATTCAATGCCAGTTGATCAATTTTTTCCCTATTATTGCACTCTCATTTACTACATTCCATCCTATATATAAGTCATTTTTAGCTACTTTACCGGAATCAAAGAAAGGTAGTTAAATTATTGATGTTTTTTATACATGCTTTCATTTATCCTCCCCCATTTTCTACATGCTTTGTCTGATGGTTTGCCCATCTTTATGTCATTCCAATTTTACCCTTGATGGAGTGACACTTCTTGCTTTCAAACCTTCTGTTACGGACCCTTACAATCACTTGATAAATTGGTCCAACTCATCATCTTCCCTTTGCAACTAGTTTGGAGTCACATGTGATTTTAATAATGAGGGAGTGAGAATCCTGAGTTATCTTGAGATAGGTCTTGAGGGCACCTTACCCTCACGTATTGAAAATTTATCCTTCCTAGAAAAACTTGAACTGCAAAGCAGCAACTTTCATGGTGGGTTGCCAAAAGAGTTGCTTCAATTGTGTAAATTGGAAATTCTAAATGTGAGTTATAATACTTTTAGTGGAGAAATTCCGACTCAGATTGGAAGCTTGTTTATGCTTCAACACTTGAGTCTTGGCAATAATAGTTTTGGAGGTGTCATTCCTCCAAGCATATCCAATTTGATGAAGTTGGAGACCTTGGATTTGAAGTCTGATATTATCAATGGATCTATTGCATTGGATATTGGAAGACTTCAACACCTGAAAGTTTATGCATTTCCAGAAACATGCTTTCAGGAAGTATACCTCGAACTATCTCTAACTTATCATCACTTGAACACATTTCTTTGTCTCTCAACTTCTTAGAAGGTATGTCTTGTATAATATATATATGTGATGATATAAACATTTATTCTATTTCACAATTGATGAATTTATCATTTTTTTGTAATTTTTTATATCAGTCTTATATTTGATGTCAATCTAACTTGGGGCATGCTATTTACTATGTCTTTTCAAAGTTAGTCCTTGAACCGAAAATTCTCAAACATTTTACAATTACATGAAACAAATTAACTATACCTCTATAATTAAGCTATCATCCCCAGAACAAATTTGACTATTCTTAAAAAATTATGCCTTGAATCAGTTATTTCTGACAAAAGATATTTTTGTTGAAGTAGACAAATTTTTTTTATAACATGTTTAAGTAGACAATTTAATTAAATGTTATTGGGAATTCTCTTTCAGTGAGGCACTTTTTTTTTATGCTACAATTTTTGGAATTCCTTTTGTACTTTTCAATCGTCATAAGTTGATGCATGTGTATCTGTATATTATCTGGTTGGTAATATTGACTAGAGATCAAATTATTGAATACATGTATGAGATACAACAATAATGTAGTCCCAGAATCAGATGTTTTACTCCTTCGTTGAATACTACTTTTAATATAAGCAGTCACGAAAAAAGCACAAGGTTATTTTTTGGCCATATTGCAGGACATATTCCCAAAGAAATGAATAAGCTTACAAATCTAAAAATATGTACATGGGTATGAATAAGTTTTCAGGGAAAATACCAAGCATTGGAAATTCGTTCATGCTTGGAAATTTATATCTTGCAAGCAATAGCTTCCAAGGTACATTTATAACGAATCATAATTTATTTTTATTTTTTTGCTATTGTTTGCTTTTTTTTTGGGACAATATATTGATCCTATGGAGCATACTTATTTATAAGTAAGTCCCATGTAATTTAGAAACTTCAACTAGTCCCTTGAGATCTGATTATAATTTGAAATTAAGGTGCACAGATAATACTATCCTTACTTGTAATGCATGATCAATTTAATTATTGGATATATGAACCTATAGCTATAAAAAATTAAAGTAATAGTTGTAAATAATTAATGTTAAACTTTGCTAGTAACATATTAGATATGTGAAGTTATAGTTGTATAATGTTGATGTGATAGTTGTAAATTATTGATAAAGTAGTTGTAGACGATTAGTATTAAACTTGCAATACATGATTAGTTTAACTATTGGATGTGTGAACTTACAATCATAAAAAGTTGAAGTGACAGTTGTAAATTGCTAATGATATAATTGTAAATTACTTAATTGATATAATGTATTTTTAATAGGGACATTATTGTCTTTCCACCTTAGTTTCAAATTATACTCAAGTCTTAAGGGACCTAGCTATGATTTTTTTTTGCTTTCGCACTCGGTATCTTGAGATATTTTGAGTTCATTGCCTGCGCCAAATTACTCCAGATCCCCATTCTGTGGACCTTATGATGAAAGATAGGTATCGATGGCATGACCTCTTTGAGGCCGCTTTAATTATCACTTTTTGTCACCCCTAAGGATTCAATCACTCGTTGTTGAGAGTGCCTTGATTTTTGAATTTTGTGAGACTTGTTTATAAATAAGTCTGCTCTATGAGTGAGATTTATACATAATTTTTCCTTTATTTTTTAACGATAATCATTAGAAACAACTTTTTTGAGTGACCATAATTTTTGGAGGAGCATTCCTTCAAATATATGTCTACGATTTCAATGGTTATATTTAGGAGACAACATATTTTCATAATTCTACACTACAAGATAAATGAAGGACCCATTTGTTTATGATTAAAAAATAAGTGAGTTTTATATCATTTAGATTTTAAAAAAAAAAAGGATATTTGTTGTAGAGATTTTATAAAAAGCATATATTATTTTATGTTTGACTACAGTAATGAAAAGTGATTATTATTTAGTTATTTTTATTTTTATGATATCTTCATGGATCTCTATTCATAAGAAAATATTATTTAGTTATTTTAAAAGGGCAAGACTTAGGTACCTAGTCTTATATGCCTAATATATAATACTTGCATCCAATCAAATCAAAACAAGTGGAATTTAATGTGTTAGTAATATTAATAACAAAAAATTATGATGGAATAAATAATATATAAATGATACACATGTCTTAATTTAATTAGAAACAAGCACCATAAAATATAAAGCTAAGTATATGAAATTTTCCCTTTTCAAAAACTACTCAAAGTAGCTTTTCAATTAATCAGAACTTAGAAATATCTTTTTTTAGATTTTGATTATTTTCAAAAGTTTAAACAAATATAATAAAATTTCAAAAAATAATTTTTTATAAAAAAATAAGTGATCATCTCGTAAAAGAAGATCAAACAAATGGACCTCAAATTAAATCTCCAATTTAATTTCATAACTTCTTTTTGCAAGGATTATTAAAAATCATAAAATAAATTCATAGGAGTTCATTATATTTTATGTTTTTAAATTAAAATTGTTCTATGTCAAATTATTAAACCGTGCGTGTGTGTGTGTGTAAACTCATCAGACTATATCAAATTTGTTTCCGAAAAATAAAAGTAAAATTGCGGAAGGTGAGAGGTTTGGAATTTGTGTTTAATTTTCTGCAACAAAATTCACAGCATTGTGATTTTATTGTGTTGTAATATTGCGGGAAATATTTCGAATGAAATAAGCAATCTTACAATTTTGAGCAGCATATACTTAAGTGCTAATTAGTTGTCTGGTCACATACCAAGAGGCATTGGCAATTTCACTAGGCGTCAAGAGTTATTTTTGGACAACAATAACTTAGAAGGTATAGAAATACTTTTATCAAATTAAAGGCTAGTTCTGCTTAATCTTCTGTTAATATGATATTTTATGCATGGACAATCAAAATAGAGTTACTTTTTTTTTTTACCACATTGCAAAAGGAATTATTTCTTTACAATAAACATAGAGAATCTCTCAAATCCAAAATTTATAAACATAGATAATGATAATAAGTTTCTGAGCATTAATTAACCTTCAACAGGATAGTGAATATATACATATACTCAAGGAACTGGAAAATTGACTATTATTTTACTTTATTATTTAGATTACGACCCACAGCTTTCATAACTTGTACTACAAATTTAACAGACTATATCAAATATTCACCAACTTAAATTTCTTAATTAAAATACATTTCAACTGCACATTATACTTTGGGATTGGTACACGGCAATTCAAAACCATATATAATTAATGGGAATTATCCTTTATTATCATTTAAACAAGCTTCTTATTACTTAAAAGTAAATTTTTTATGAAAAGTTAAAAAAAAACCGCTACCCCTTATTAAACTTGTTAATTTATCAAGAAATATAATTCATCAAAATAAACAAATAAAAACTAGGCTAATATAGTCTAAATTGTTTTCAAACGTAGAACTATATATATATATATATATATATCATATTTTTATGGATGATTTTTAGTGGTTGCTTATCTTTTGAATATATAAATCTATATATGAGGACAATCATGCTTTAGACATATATAAGGTTATTTTCATTTAGACCACTAACTTTAAAACACAAAGTAACTTCAAACAACATAAAAAGTATGCGTTACCACAAATTTAAGTGTTGCTCTTTTTACTTACAATGATGCATTGTTAATTTTCTTTTTTTGTTTGCAGGAAATATTCCCAATGAAATTATAAGCCTTGCAAATCTGAAGATGATGAGCCTAAGGGTTAATCAGCTATTTGGCCCCATACCAAGAGCCATTGGAAACATGACTGTGCTTCAACAGTTGTATCTTGATAGTAATAATTTAGAAGGTACATTTTCACCAAAATATAATGTACTACAATCATTTTCTTTTAACGTGATATTTTATACTGTATAATGACTTCTTTTCTTAATTTTTTCTTTGAATCATGCATTTTCAATCCCCTCAGATGTTCAACTTCTCTCCAAACTTCTCCTCGTCTATTCTTTTTTCTGTTCAGATTTGATGCTTGAACCGGTGAATCAACCAACCAACATGTTTTCCATGTTCCCCCAATTTGTTGACAAATTTTTGACCATTTCACTACAAATAAGATTTAATGGTTTATGCTAGACTAGACGACAAGCTAGTTCACGTCCAACCGGCTAGTCTGGTCCAATTGTAAAAACCATGATGTAACTAACTATTTAGATTTGTAATAATATACATTAAAATAATTTTAGAAGCTCAAGCCAGCAAGCTAAAAACTCATCATCCACTACTAAAAAAAACCTACAAGAGCATTTATTTTAAACATAAAAAATGTGAAATTATATGACAAAATTGTGAACACTAAATTAGTGACGGATCAAAGCGTGCTAAGTTTGTTGTAAAGGCTCCAATCCATCACAAATTTTTCCAAAATTTTATGTTCAAGTAGTGGGTAAATCTAAGCAGTTAGACATTTATGATTTTCTTTATATTTTAATATTAACTTCCGTTGATACTTCAATTAGTATTTGTATTCTAGGATCAATACCTATGGAAATTGGTAAACTTCGACAGCTTGAGATAATAGAATTGTCTCAAAACAAATTGAGAGGGTTTATTCCATCAGAAATTTTCAACATGTCAACTTTGGAGGTCTTGTCTCTCTCAAACAATTCTCTATTGGGAAGTCTTCCATCAAATTTTGGATTTGGCCTTTCTAATCTACAAAAGCTTTATTTATGGGGTAACAAACTTTCTGGAAAAATCCCAAATACCATACCCAATGCTTCTAAGCTAACCACTCTAGAATTGGAAGTCAATAATTTTGAAGGGGTTTTACCAACACAGTTGGGCATTTAAGATGCTTAGAAACCCTTTTAGTAAGTGATAATAATTTTACCATTATAGATACTTCCGATTCTAAAACTAGCTTTTTCAACTCATTATCAAATTGCAAACATTTGAAAAGTTTGATTCTCTCAACAAATCCACTGCATATGAAACTTCCCAAGTCCATTGGAATCTTGTCTAATTCTCTTGCAAGTGCTACTTGTAGACTTGTGTA